CCCAGTCAATTTGTTAACAAGATACACAAAATGCTTGATAAGTTCGTTATTTCTAATCCGTTTTGCCTCGAAATTAGGCGTTCAGCATGTTCAAAGATAACAATGGGCGTGGTCTAAAATTTTCAAATTTTAGGGACGGAATCATCGAACAGTATGCCATCTGCAAAGCAACAACTCTCAAATATAAAACACGGCTGAGGTATAAGACCCAATGTTTGCACACTGACTTTGGCCCCCTCCCCCACCCCCTGTTATCTGTATAGTGTATATATATCATTAAATGAGTTTTGCATTTTTAACTCGGGTCCCACGCTATAATTTAAAACTAAGTATAGGCCCTCCATTGTTCGGTTTTCATTTACATCAAGTATTTCGTACATCGCTCCAGCCCAAATGAATTATTGCTAGTACCAACCCAAATGAATTATGGCTGGAAGTGGAAAGCGTTTCTTCAAATTCTTGGAAATTATTTCGAACATTGCCGCGGAGGGACTACCAGTACGTGCTTATTTTAATAAAATTTCCTGTTCTTCTAACTAGAGTCGATCACAATATTGTTATCGCGCTATTTCTCTGCCTTTATTCTCATCTGTGACCTTATTCATTGCCTTTACAACAAACCCAATGCGATGATAACGATGGTTTTAAAATAAATCTAGTCGGCTATGTTTTTGGGCTTTTTGACTTTTACACAGGAAAAAAGGATAGTCTTTAGGGGATTTTTACGGCTTTTGGGGATGAGGTAATCAGCAAAAGCCAAAAATTACTCAATTCCCTTTTTTGTCGTACATCTAGCTGTAGACGACAGGGTGGTAAATAAACGGGTTTATCAAGATGAGTATTTATATTGGAAGGGTGATAAGGAAAATTGAGTGAGCTTCGAGCAGGAGATAATATTCATGAACCGAGGCACACGCAAAAAGTCGCAACAGTCGGCTAAATGATTAGTAACCTCTAACGGATAGTTCCAGATTCACTAGCTCATTCAGCCTGGAGAAGTTGTGTAAAAATACAATTAAAAAGATTACATTGTCTCCTCTTCACTACTGCATATCATGTTCTTAATTGCGCTATTGAATACTGAAAAAGTGTTTGTTGTCTGAGATATTTATACTACGTCACTAGGTGCATGGCATTCCAGTATCCTTCTCTCCTCTCAAATTGTTCCAGACACTATTGTCTGCCTTTGTTACTTCTTTATTCACCTGCGTTATTTCGCTCCTCCAAAAATTAGCGCTAGACTTGGGTTTTTTACGGTTTTGCAGCCGAACAAAACGGTTTTACATTAACCCTGACTTTATTTAACATTACCCTTGCTGTAATCTTAACCGCAACCTTAACAACAACCCTGACCCGAGCCGTAACAATCGAATTTGTGTTTAATTAGCCTGTCACTTGACCAAAACAGGTTTTTTGCCCATAACTCCTCAGGGAAGCATTTTTCCTTTTCACCCTTTTGAAAAAAGGCAATAGTGAAAGGTTACGAATGGAGGTTTTTGAAGAAAAACGCGGATTTTGGAGATTGCAGTAGGGGGTCTGATCGAGTATGTCGTGTTCCTTCCGTCCGTTACCAAGCAACGAAAAAGTTGCGCGCGCGAGGATTGCTTGCGGAGATGTGATGTATAGATAGCCTGTGATCTATGAGTATGAATGCGCGGCGCGACTGTGTTTTAATGTATATGATGCATGTAATGTATAATATTACTATTAGGTAATACGCCCAATTTGTAAGTGGCACGCGTAGTGTATTGATTTGTACACGAGTATTTCTTGAATTACAGATACAAGTTAAGTTCTACGGCAATTGAACTGAATTTTTTCCCGTATTTGATGCATAATTTATCAATATTATTAATATTATGAAAATTGAAGTGAGCTGATTGGAGCTTATACTTAAATTTATAGTAAATGTGAAATGGAAATCTAGCGTCCGCCAAAACGAAACAACGGGCGCAATTCTTGTTACCCTACGTCATGTGGGGTGATTCTGAATCAGCGTTCAAAAATAAGTCTTGTTGCGTCAATCAGGGCCTTTACACAAAATTCTATTTGGGCGAGTGATTTATTTTTAAAGTTTTAGTGGGAACGTCTAATGGAGTCTGGCGAACAATAATATTATTACTTTGTGGTTAAATCACTGAAATTTTTCATCGTCTTGTGAACTAACTTCTAGGATTAATAGTGTTTCTAACGAATAATGCGTAGTCATGTAAATGTTGCAATTTTGTTTACAATTGATACTTTTACTATCGAAGCATTATTTTAGCTAATTAGTAGTGACTTTTACGATGAGGGAGTTGTCACGCGCATGATACTGGAGATAGCGAGTGTTTGTTTGTTTCGTATAATTTACTTACTTTAAGAAAATTCTGTAGGGCGCGGCTGAAAGATTGGCAGACACTCATTTTATCCATATCAGCCTCAAACTGGGGTATGTTTCCGGATGATTTCCACGTTACAACGTATAAATTTAAACTTTTGGCCAGGGAAAAAAGCTCGTTCTGAGACTTGAACTAGTGAAAGGAGAGAAAATGTCACTTAAATCAGTGACCACATTATTACTCCCTGTATCTTAACAACAGTTTAACAGCTCATGACCTCATGGGATCCCATGTAGGGCAGGGATACCCACCGGGAAGGTGATGAAGCGAAAAAAAGCATTCGGCGGCGTTAGGGCTATTGTTATCACTCAGGCGTACCCGTATAGGAAAATGTTAGTCGAATCACTCATTTACAAATTTCATCACCAATTAATTATGAATAATTTGAATACTTGAATACAATGTTTCTGTAGCTGTCGATGAGGAAAGCATTTTTCAGTTTCTTTAAAGAGCTCTTTTTTGTTTTCGCGGACAAAAATATGTTAAAGTGCCACTGTTCCATTTATTTTTGAATCGATATCCCAATCAGGATTCTACGTAAGTCTATGTTTGTCTAAATTAGTTTTTACATCGACCGATATAAATTAATGGCAAATTTATCGAGTTGATTGGTGTGAATTTATGCGATTTACGGAATGCATCCCCGCTAAAAGAGACAAAATTGTCTACTATAGAATTAAGAATTTCGTGACTCCTCTAAAAGATAATACCCTACTTCTTCGTTCGGTCAAGTTCAAAACGTTTCTTAGGAGGGATTTTTGCGTACTTTACAGAATTATAGCTGGTACCCCTTCAGCTGCTAAGATGAAATCTGCCATTAATTTAATAAAGGATTATCAGCCATTTTAAGTGAGACTGGACCGTGAAGAGACTTCTTCTTTCGTCACAGTTAAATAGCCCGACTAGCACGTGACTGGCACGAGACCACAGTTAAACCTGCAAGTCATTAAAAATTCCCAAGCCCCAAGGTAAGTTTTTTCTGGTCTCATCCTCATTGACGACACAATCCAGACTCTTCTAGGATTCTAAGTAAACACTTTAGCTTGTCCTCTTCATTGACGTATTAACCATTCTAGACCACTTAATGAGAAGAATTAAGTTCAAGGAAATACTGTCGGTCCTTCAGGATTAGGCTTCAACGAGGAACAAATTGGTGGACTTCAAAGAAAACATAAAGATATTCAGAATAAAATATGATGCAGTGGCGTTCCTAAAAACTGCACGTGATGATGCGCTGAATGTTTCAATTGTTGTAGGAGGCGGATGAAATCTAGATAAACTGCATAAACTAATGTAGCAATTAGCGCTTGTACGTCACACCATTTAATACTTGGTAGATGGATCAATTTTAGATCGCACTTTGAACTAACGCCCACGCAGCCTGGACAGTACTGATCGTAAATAAAGCACGGTAAAACCTCTTCTTACTCACGCGAACGGACAAAACTATTATGGCTATCTTTTCATCTCTTTAACCAGCCCAACGCGTTGCCACAACCTTATTTATAACAGATTTCTTTTGATATAAATGAATTATTAATTCCATCAGATCTATACAACTTGTTACTCTTACCCATACTGGTAGTTCCAACCCGTAAAACTAAAAGTGCTTTCAGCATTTATCAAGATTTATTAATCCTTTGACTTCCACTTCCATCCCCGAGTTAATAGTAGTTTGTGTGCTATTACTATTAGTACCTAATCTACTGTGTATTCTATATAATATGCTGCCGTCAGACCTCACGCGGTCTTGGTTACGAAAGGAAAGTGACGCAAGATCTGCTCTATAATAATAAAGAGTTTCGTGTTATCAGGGCGTGTACATTCCACCCCGAAGTAACACAAAAAACGGTTAATCTTTCAACTTCTAGAGTCTTGGGTGATTTAGGACAAGTTCAGGGTCATTCTAAGTCGTCGGAGTTTATAAGGGTGTCGCCAAACATGTTTTCGTTTATTTCTAGTTAAAATTTCGCACTCTTTAGTACTATAGTTGAAAACAACTTCACTTATTATCTATACAATTTAGGATCAAATTCAAAATATCTCTTTTAACTTATTATTATTATTAATTGTGCAGCCCCTATTTATCTTTAATATATTGTATTAATTCCAAGAGTAACCAAGCGAATTTTCCAAATTAAATCAACTTCCGTATAGTTATTTCAGTAAAGGAAACGTTTTCATGTATTGGGCCTTGAACGTGGAATGAATGGCCAAATTATATCAGATGATTAAACAGCTTATAGTATGCTTTTATTAAATCTCTTAGGACCTTATTTCAGCAAAGTTATGAGGGTGACTTAAATGGGGCGAAAACAATCAGGAGGCCTAAGCATAGGAATAATTCAGATAGCATTTTTCGGTATAGATTCTGCACTGTACAACATAGATGCCACTACACTCACAGCAAGTGAAATAACTGACATTTAACACGCTCTTCTAAGTTCTAACTACACCGAGGTATATATAAGTATTAAGTATAACACTTGACACAATCTGGTTCACAGCTCAAAAATAAAACAACTGACAAGAAGGACAACTGACGACAAACAAGAAGAACAACTGATGACAAACAAGAAGGCGAACAAACACTAAGTTATTAAGAAAGAAACAACTTACTAATCCCAATCTTTTCTAGCTTGTCGTCCAGGTTCTTACATTCTTCGTCCCATTCCCTGGTTGAGTGAAGATCTTCTTTCTCATTTGACTGAAAGAGTTTTAATCTAAATATTGCGAATTTATTAAGATGTGTGCGTGTGGTAGACAAATAAGATATAAATCGTAACGGCAATATCGATTTGCGTGAGAGAGAGGAATAAAGTATAGAAAATTAAGATGTGCGGTAAATGGGAGGTTTACAAATACATAAAAAGGAGAATTCGGGATTTTCGCAAAAATGTCTTTTACAACGTTTTCATAATTTGCCTCAGCTAATAATTCCAGGTCCTTCGTATGAAGTAGTTCGAGATGAATCTACCGGGATCGGGATAATTTAATTCCTGTTACACCGGCCTCACTCTGTTATCTATGTAGTTTTGTGTGGCCCACAAAAGGATAGCATGAAGATGCTTTGCCTGCCTCTGGGCTCTGGGGTGTGGCAACCCTCAAAGAAGACGGGGAAATCTATGGGAAAATAAGCGGGGGACAGTGGCTACAATGAGGAATTATAAAATGAAAAAGGTCACTCCGGTTTGATCCAACGATTCTTGCACAATAGTTGACAATATGTGTTGGTTGTCAAAGATTTTGTTGACAGAGGTAATAATCCTGAAAAAATTGGCCTCTAAGTTGAGAAATAGCTGGGCACTTTCCTAGAAAATGCTATCGATTTTTAAGATGAACTTAGAAGGTTGAGAGATAAAGAAATAAGAACTGGATTCGAATTTCTGTAAAATTCGAACCAACAAAGTAGGTTCTCTCCCACGACCTTGTGACAGAGACCATATAAATCTTAGCGACGGTTAATTAATTTTGACTGAGACCGTTTTTAATCGACATGGCTAGGGGGCGTTACGTTTCATTAGGTAATAGTTATCATCCATATTTTAAGTTTTGTAGGCTATTGTCAATTCTTGCACGTGCTATTTTTTACTCTCATTTTATAGACTTTGGATTAACGTTAAAAACGTTCCTGTGTGACAAATTACGGTATGCACGTTTTCATGAAGTGTTACACTGTACAGTGTGTGGTTAGCTTTCTAATTTCAGTCGTCGTTCTTGAATTAATTGGCAGAGTAATGTTTCGTACGGGTCCCCGTTCTGCAGTTTTTTGTCACCCCACTTTCATGTACGTGCAACTTTTCCATTTTCAAGATAAGGAACTCCAATATGATAACTCCGTGAAAATTTGGTTGCCCAAACAAATATTTTATCTCTAATAAGCAATTAGCAACCATAAACATTTCCAAATTTCCCCAGAATGTTAGTAGATCACATCAAGACATGAGCTTACAATTTGTCTGGTAATACGCCAATAGTAGCAGATAACCCAAATATTGGGGTGATCTAAAGAATTATCAGGTTTATTCATGATGAGTTCAAAAGACCTGAACCAACCGTTAAACGTGACATAATTCATATTGACAGTTACCGCTCAAATTTAGGCGATATTCCAATAGCATTGCCAAATTAAAAGTCTCCCTGAACCCCCAACATGCTTCTCCGAGATAAGCCTCCTCCGTGGATCCAATCAACTACCGCTATGGTTCCAGACGTGACGGAACTGTGATAACGGGTAGAAATTAGTGGCCAGGGGACATAGGCTTGCAACTTGGAGGGGGAGGCATTTGCTTGCAACTTGGGAGTGAAGTTATAACCAGGGGGAGCTTATAGGAATTAAGGTGGATTGTAAACGGAGGGATGTTAGATTTGCAGCCTTTTTTAAATCTTAGATGAAAATGAAAGGCGACCAGAAATTATGTTTAATCGAATTTATTCTTCTTGAGTGAGAAGACGAATAAGCGGCATCTACAGGTGAAAATATTTTTTTGCCAGTTTAAGTGGCAGCCCTGATCGAAATCCAGGGCCTTCCTTAACAGACAAACACACACACATACACACACACACAAATAAATACTTATGACATGAAAAAGCCAGTCAATAACCATTATCTGGGGGCTCTGGGATTTGTGAGATCATAGAAAGGAACAACCATTGAACATAATCTTTTAAACCTATAAGAATAATATAGCTGCCACCACTAACCTGGTCCATTTGACTGGAGTGCTCCGTGGAAATATGCTCAGAAATATGCTCAGATATCTGTTCTGAGATCTGTTCAGATAGAGGTGATGTAACTCGGTCGGGTGACGTCATGCGGTCACTACTGGTCACGTGATCCGGAGTCACGTGATCCGGAATCCTGCCTCCCTCTTTGTACTGGTGTGGCGGCGACAATATCTGAAGTCAGGAGAATGTTAGGATCCTGTTAATGGATACTTTGCAATGATCAATTAGTTTGGATTATGTCAGGCTTTTCCCTAGAAAATGGTTTCTACCTCAGGGGCATATATTGCGGCAATAATAGACAAACCCATTCCCCTAAAAATTCCACCGAACGCGCACCTAGATTTTTCTACGAATATCTCTCTAGAACGAAACTTTTCTACTTATAATAGCGGCTTCACGACAGTACCACATAATCGGAGGAAACCCCTGAAACCCAATGATTTAACAGTTATACTTAACAGTTAACACAGGTACGTGTCCTTTATTGCCTATATAAATAGCTCAGTACCTGAGTATTGCTATTAGCATATCGGTTAACCATGTCCTCTATTGGTTTCCTGTTGCTTAAGAAATCCATGCTATCGTTGATAGGGTCCTCAGCAGTGCTAGAAGGGTTAGATCCCCGTGTGTTGCTGGAGACTGTGTCCTTTCTGTTGAGGTGTACGTTGTGTCCTCCTGTGCAGCTCTGAAATTATCCATTATGAGACCCATTGAGCCTGTACCTAAATGGGCGTTGGTAACAGCAGGGGGTTGGGTACGTAACTACATGCCCTGGTAAGTGGTAAATCAAACCCTGTTTCTTTGTCACGCTTCAATGCGAGCCTGAATCACATTAAGTGGATTATTAAGCAACGATTATTGTGGGAATAGTTGTGAAAAATTATACACTGGAAATTTCAATGACAATGGGTCGAAATATAATGTATGAGATTCATAAATTCGGTCACGATCTCTTTCATTCAGTGCGCCCGTTATGGGTCTGAGATTAGCCCATCCTAGGCAAAGCAATTTGTATACTCGTAACTTCATAATTAATATCCACAAATTGCGGAACAGGCATGCAAATTATTGTATGCCGGACCACATCCCCTGTTTCGGAATAAATGTTTTATTCCGATCACAATTTTTTTATAGATAAATCATGAGCATCTGTTTAATCTACACTTTGCTTATATATACGGAAATTTATTTTCGGCTATTTTGAGACTTACTACACAGTACACACCTCTTCATTTTCAATTACACCAATATCAATTGTACATTTAACCTACAATTTTGCACCACGATCGATTTTAATGATAACGATTAAACGTGATTCTCGACAGATAAAAACGATAAGACTCTAGCTAGACGGTTCGTGACGCGTCACCTAATCTGTCACGTAACACGTCACGACTAGCAAGGACCAAATCCTAAAACTGAATTGGTACATTCAACAACTATTTTTATTAGATAAAGCATTGTATTTCGTATTTATAGTGTATCTTGTTATTATCCCGTAACCCGTTTCAAACACCTTGTTGTCACTAAATTTACTAACGACTTGTTGTATATTTCGGACATGTGGGAACAACAATGTCATTAGCCAAACAATACCGACATTAAACGTAGTTCTTCTTGGAGCGTTCTCAAATTTGAAATTTCACAGGATTTCTAAAACTGCGGGTAGAAAAACTAATAAATAATTCGACATGACTGTGCCTGTTTTTCTACTCGCAGTTTTAGAAATCCTGTGAAATTTCAAAAAAAAAGAAGAATTATTATTATTTTAGCACGTTCTACCCTAGTGATGACGTTAGTGCCATGTTCTGAATAACACCTCGACCTCCCGATAAGTGATATCTAGGTTAATTCGGTTACATATACGCATTCCTAATGCATAAAACAAATATCTTATCGGTCCAGGTAGCAGATTAATATTTTGTACAACAAAACATGTCAGAGTTGCCAAAAACAGATATGGAGACACAAATTGAAATGATTATTTGGTTTGATTAAGCAGAGAATAAGAGCCTAACTTGGGCAACATGGATTTGAAACATTGCACACGGCCGAGGTATTCATAGATAATCAGTCCAAACGATCAGAAACTGAACATTTCATGAAGTGAACCGTGAAGTGATAAGTATAAATTAAAATTGTGCGATAAACTCCCGCACAACCACGACCTTGTCCCAACGGTTCACACCTACTTTCGGCGAGATTTGCCAGGATTCAGGTCACATCCTGACCAAGCCAACAATCCAGCTACCTCTGCCACTGTAAATCATTTCCACGGAACGTCTGATAAAAAGAACCAATTGCGTTTGATTAGATTATCTTATTAGAACCCCGAATTTGATTCCATAGAAGCAGGGAGACCACGCAGCGCGTGCCTATTTAAACCCTCTACTTTACCCTAAGGTCACATAGTCCTAGTTGCGTGTCTCACTGGTGCAGGTGCAGTGGAGGCCACCCAATTGCAGTACATGTTTTTAGAGTTTATAGATGTGTTTCACTTTCCGATTAAAAATTCGTCATCAGATATTGCTCAATTGACATAATTGTATTGAGAAATACTTGATGATAAAGTTTTGTAAAGTATCGTGGACGTAGTTATTATAATTTAAATATTTCCGAGAGAGAATCAAAACTCTGGTCTTGTGTTTCTGAATACATACTTAATAATAGTATCGATCTTAACGTACGACATAAATTAATTATTAACCTAGTCCAAGAACACTTAACAGTTTATAACTCATTTGCATTAATTGACTGTCCCTTTTATACGATTCATCCTTTGACATTAAATTCATCCCAAGTGATCTGTATTCTGTAAGGTAATTAAGTGGAGGGTAGAATTTGAAACGTCCTTCGTATTCAATTAATTTGGTGCTACATATATACACTACTACAGGGTGTACACTGTACGTGTTGTAGAATTATTCAGTTGCACGGCTGGAAAGCGTTAAAAATATTTGATGAGCACTATTAGCGAGATAGTCGCACTGATTGACTGCAAACTTTAGATACGTCTAATCGGGTGACATGCACAGCTTATCATCGGCCTTAACTAGCTAAATTCTAGAGTCTGCTCCATCAAACCCTACAAAATAGGCTAAAACAACGGAGAGAAAACATTTGAAAAAATATATTTGAAAATTCTGCAGAAACGTTCGGCAGTAACTGACAACCTGACACTCTAAACTCGGACCTAAGCAACCCGTCGGCGCGTGGTATATTTACGGGCTTATCTTGCTTATCTTGCTTATCTTATAAATTAAGATTCTGCCTTTAGTTACTTGCCCGTTTTTTATGTTAAAACATTAAATCATCATGAAAGTTCTGGACACAACAATGGAGGAACCGCGGCATTAGTTTGTTCCCAGAGACTTCTCCGTGATTAATGGAAGTGGTGGGTTCTTTGCCAGCCATAATGGCTCATTGTAGACCAGTCTAACCAATTCTCCGGTTTTCGGGAAATCGGATAAAATTATCGCTTATTTTTATCTCATTTTGTGCAAGTAAGCGTAAGCCATGCATATCTACATCGTTCCTTTCACGAGGATTTCACAGGATTTTCAGTTCATCACCATCGTTTTCGTTCATATTTTAAACCTTCTCGAACTTCATTATAAATTATTTAAATCTTAACGGTATATTTATCAGTCGTAAACTAACACGTAACAATTATCAGAAGAGAAAGCAAGCAGCAGTATGTCTAACAACCGAGGTGAACTGATCGCCTACATCAAGAGGCTGGGATACAGTGAGAAGATCGCAGAGGAGGTCCTCCGACAGAGAGGAGATAGGATCAGCAAGTCAGAATTACTGAATTACGTCGTCATTGCTGCCTCCAAAAACAAGGTAACATTTCAGTCCTGTTTTTAAATGATTGTTGAATTTCTAGATTTTTTAAATGCGGCAAAAGTTTTTGTTTCATCACGTTGCCAACGCGTCGGTGAAAATCACAAAATTGCACTACAGTCTTGTAATTCTGAAATCGAGACAAAAAACTAATTCCATGACATCATCAGGACGTCAGAACAAAACCAAGTGCAGACTACTTAAACAACCAGGACAGCTTCAGAAAACCTGACGGGTCAACACTGAGAAAACCACTTTGGAAGAGGAAAAACAACAAGTGAGGGGTACGAAGACATCACGTGACACCCCGCGTGTTAGGAGCAACGCTCTGAATAAAAATCAGAATTGGAAGAACCGCATCAACATTGACAGATTCACTAAGGTATTGCTTGTAAGAAACAATCGAGGTTGAGACCCAAGACTGTCTTCAGAATAAATGACCCGTTTGTCGCTTTTACTGTAATGTTAATTGTTATGAAGTTTATTGTATTTGTCTACGATGTTGTTGCCTTCTTTCTCAGAACTACGACCATATCTATTACAGTTCTACTTTTAGTGTGTGTTTGGGATCGTTCACATATTACGTAATCACTGAGGGGGAGGGAGGGGGTTTCTAGATGATTACGCTGGTGTTATTTTAACAAAATAGCGATGTGTAAACTGATCACGGAGGGGGCGGGGGTTAAAATTGGCAAAAGTGATACTGATTACGTAATATCAAATATATAGTGAACGACCCCTAGTCTTTGATCAGCTTAATCAGATGGGAAGGGTAAGGGTTTATACAATAAACTACATTTGGCGATGAAATGTTCGTTTACAGATTAGTTTATTTGTGATCTAACCATAACTTAAGCTTAGCCTAATGATGCACTTCTTTTCAAGGTTTTAGATCAATTACGATTTGACTAACTCCATTGTCCTAGCACGGATGTGGCCAAAAATGCTGGGGCTATTAACGTAATTTGCACAATATCGATTATTTGCACAATAGCTTCATGCTAGAATAAAATGAGGGGAGTAAAAATGGCCGCATATCTAGTTATAATCTGCACGTTTGGCCCCAAACGTCTTTAAATGAGATAAAAGATGATTTCAAGGGAATGATTCAGCCTTGAAAGCTTGAATCAACCAACATAAGGCGTGCTCGCAACAGCAGATAAGTCAATGTTTCTCCAGAAAAGATGACGTAATAATTACGCCATGTTTTCCGCAGAAAAATTGACGCATTTGCCGGATTATTGCATTACGGTAATGTGGCATCAACCCATGACCCGCCTTAACTCACTACTTATAATCCTTATCGCAATCTGAAAATGATAAAAGCACTCTATCTACTTTCTACAATATCGAAAAATGTTGCTAATAATAGCTGATTTGGGTTGGTCATTGGTCTGTGGTCACTAGTCACCAGGTGCGGTTGAGACTTGTCTAGTAGTGCAGCTGGGAGTTTAGCATAAACGGGAAGAAAGGGGCAGTTATTAACCTCGGCAAAATATTTTAAAGCACGTGGGAAATAGTTTTCTGATTAAGCTGATTTCACAAATTAAACTTCTTTCATTAAATTACCAGAGCATGGATAGGAATTGATCTATAAATCCACTAAATTGTGCAATTTATAGTTAAGAAAGTAACAGGTAGTTGATATTTTCATAACTGATCTTAGCATTTTATAATGCAGTAAGAATACTGTAGCTTTAGCTGTGCATTTTCTAGACGTTTCACTTATCTGCAGACCTCTGAATTTTTACCGCTATTTGTACAGCCATGATAAGTCTGTTAAATAAAGTTGGTGGTTGAGTTTGGATAAGAAAAAAGGAGTGTATTTTACACACTTTTAACAGATCAATCTCAACGGCAAACTTCATTAAACAGTTCACAAATAATTAATTAATCATGTGAAATTTCTCACATATTCAGCAGATTGTTGCAATCAGTTATCAGAACTTCTTGTTTACTAAGATACCTAAGGCTCTACCTTAAAAGAGCGTTTCATTTATGTTATATAATGTAAATTGTTGGGTCATTCTAATGTGCGGCCAAAGAAAGATTTGTCACAGAATTTAAAAGATTTACAAGAAAGTGTTGACATTTTTGGACACAGAATGACCAAGCAAGCTTATTTTAAACACTCATTCCTGAATCTTGGGAATGATCCTGTTAGTTGCATGATGTATTTGAATAACATGATTCGTAACTATAAGCCGTAGATTTTTAGACTTGATCACTGGTGGTAAGCCCTATTTTCATAGGCACGTGACAGCCATTAAGGGGGCAGGGGGGGTCTTCATGGAAATTTTCTCAAAATCGACTTTTTAGTTGTTTCTGTTAGAGGGGAGTAAAATCTATCAGATACTTTTAATCCGATATTGTTCCTAGCCGAAATTATTGCCGGTAAAAGGTCTATGCAAAATTTTGAGATAGGCCTTTAAACATTTTTTATTTGATTTTTAAAATCTTGGACCTCGAAAAATCGTCAAAAAACCAGGTCCAAGATTTAAAAAATCGAATAAAAAATGTTTAAAGGCCTATCTCAAAATTTTGCATAGACAATCTCTTTTAAATGATCCTTAGAACATATCCTGAAAGTTTGAGGGTGATTGCTCAAAAAATGTAGGAGAAGATAGATTTTTAGACTCGATTTTCAGGGCACGCGATCAAAAATCGCTAGCGCAATACAATTACACACAAGTGCTAACCTTTCACCGGCGATAATTTCGGCTAGGAACAATATTTTTCTATCAGATTAAAAGCATCTGAATTCTGATAGATATCACTCCCCTCTATCAGAAACAGCTAAAAGTCGATTTTGAGAAAATCTCCATGAACACCCCCCTGCCCCCTCAACCAATCGGTATTAACCACATCCCAGAGTCACTATCACGTGTCAAAACAGATATCACCTCCCAACCAGTATCCGAATTTATTATCAGTAAAAATTCATCTGGAAAAAGTTTAAACTTGTAGTGTATTTCCAGCAGTATTATCTTTTTTTGTACGTTTATTTTTTCACAATGTTGTTTAATATGTTCGATGATACCTTAAAGACACTAAAATGCCATATCGACCAAAGAAATATTTTAAGGTTTGGCGGTACATATTAATTTTTAAATCGAGCACGATTGCCATTGTTAACATTTTACCAGTAACATTGTGTCGAACAGAAGGGTTAACTCTTCTGTTCGAAAACCCCGGGTTTTTATTAAAATTGCTGGTACAATCCCTTGCCTTCGTAGGGAGCCTTTCATAAGATGTTTTAGCTCAATGTTTTGTTGTAAGCGAGCGTGATCAATAACTTGTGCTAACTTGTACATGGTTTATTTGCATTTATGTCTGTTAACCCACAGTTTTATATATTAACATATCATACAAAATGGAGTTTTAATGAATACTTTAAATTTTAAATTGGATGACCATGGCTATTTGCAAGATATTTGGAATATCACAAAATTATCACCATTGCGATAGCTATCAAATTTATTTGAAATGAAAATAAAATAAAATGGAAAAACATAATAAATATTCGTCTCAAAATGCTACAGAGTTGTAAAGGGTCAGATTCTCAAATATTTTTCAAGAGACATACAGAGAAACACGAAAAATTACCTAAGATTAAAATGTGTCACATTAGCATGCTTTTTTTCTTAGATACTCTTCATTGCACTGTTATATGGATTCGAAGAACAGCTTTAATTTTTGTCGTGGCAAAGAAAATTATTCAATACCCTCCCATACTAGACATTTTGAAAATAGGGGCCGAAAAATATCAATACAGTTCATTGTTCATACAAAATTTTCTCGAAATTTCATAGAATTACCCAACATTTTTGCCTAATTATTAGATTATGCGCGTCATTTCAGCTTTTCACTTCTATCATCATTTTATTTTGTAGTACATAATTTCTGACTGTCATAAGCTAACAGAAGTTTAGCGAGGTACCAACATGATGGTTGTTGGTACCTCGCCAAACTTATGGGGCTTTATGAGGTAGTAATCAGAAAACAGTTTCCTTGCATACACATCGTACCCCCTCCCAAAGTCCCAACATCACCTCTGTTCGGTTATGACGAGTAGTGATAATGGTTGGTGATCCATAGTCAACCTGTCTTGTAACGATTTCCCAAGTGTTGAATGTTGGAAGTGTTGAATGTTGCTGCAACATCATGTGAGTAAAGTTAGGTAAAGTGAGGATGATACTAGGGTTCTTGAAACATACAAGTGGAAATCTTGAAACAAGTGATACAAAAGTTTGTTGGCAGGAGCTATCAGACAATATGTGTTAATCGTGCTCGGCTGAACGATGATGGTTTCATAATTACAGCTTCTGAGATATATTTATTGAATAAAGTCATACAACATTTATCGATGCCCATTGCCCATGCCCATTTCACCAAAAGTTAAGGATCAATTGGGCGAAATGGGCATAATTTTCCAGTCAAAATCGAAAAGTAAATTTGTCTGATACCATGCTCTATAAAGCTAAAATGTAACTGAATTTACTAATTTGAGAACGGTGAACACAATAATGATATTTACTATCATCATAAATCAAGTTTTTGCCGTCTAAGGCGATGCCCGTGCCCATTTCACAAAAACTTAGGAATAAATGGATACGTGGTTGTCCCCAAATTGTGATATTAATAACTCTTTGGCCCGGAGTTAGACTGAACGTGATGATACATCGTGCTTAACGGGTTTAATATCGTGCGTGACGGGTTTAATATCACGAAAGCCGTCGTCCTAGCCAGTTGTAATTATAAAGATAAGGAATTCCACAGAAGACACTAAATACGTCAATACGGATCAGACATAACTTTAGTGTCTAGTTTAAGGGTCACGTACCGTAATCACAAAACAAATGACATCGTGAGACCTGAGGGGGTCACGCTCACACACACACACACACACACCCACCTGTTTTATGATGGCAGCAATTAGGGGCAGTTCGTCTGAAACATCGTAATCAATCTGGCGTTCCAGCGTCGGTCTCCCTTCGTACTTCCCGCTCTGGATATTATAATAAAATTTATTTGCAGTTCAATAAATTCTCACTGATCACTAAAATCTCCCGACCGGCCAAAAACCAACTAACTAGTCACAAGAATATAATATAGTTTATTGGGGGGGGGGGGGGGGGTGACATGTCCGCCAATGTCCTGTCCTTATTGGATTCTACGAGACAAGCGGACATTTTTTGGGGACATTAGCGGACATTGACGGACATTGGCAGACTCGGACGGACATTGGCGGACATTAACGAATTTTTCGCACATGATTTGGACAGAATATTTTCGGCTAATAATGAACAGTGTAGCATGAAATGTGGAGAAAAGTGGTTTTCAGAAAAACTTTGAACATTTTGACTTAGAAAATGTTCGGTCCGAGTCATTCTCGATACGTACCTCCTGTATCGAGAGCTGCCGACTCCGAGCTCGTGTTGCAAAGGGGAAGCCTGCCGTCCGAGATCGCATTTTGATGGGGAAGCCTCGAGTCCAAAATTGTGTATCGAGGGGTAGGTGCGGACTTCAAAAAAAACCGAAAAAGTATTTTCGGCTAATAATGAACAGGGTAGCATGAAATGAAAATTTTCTAAGTCAAAATTTTTCAAAGTTTTTCTGGAAACTAATTTTGTTCACGTTTCATGCTACCCTGATCATTATTAGCTGAAAATAGTTTTTCGATTTTCGAAGTCCGCACCCTCTCTTTTTTTGGCCCCTTGTCCGGATTTAATGGCGGGGGGAGCGATGCCCCCCCCCCCCCCCCGCTTCCTACACCCCTGACTTGATCCTGAACTTCACAACTTGTTCCCTCTTCTACCAGCATTGTGATTGTTCATTCGTCACGCCTCTCTGGCTCAACCGACTGATACGGGATATTAAGGTCACGTGGCTCCATACTGGACTCTAAACAGTGACTACCGATGTAGCGCATGTATTTCTAGATCTTGTATCCAATTACAACACTCCTTGACATCTCACTTCGCAAATTTAGCAAAAATTAACAAAATTTAACAAAATTTAGCTAATTTTGTTGTCCATTTTTGTCCGCACGTGTCTGCCTATCTCCGCCTATGTCCTGTCCTTTTTGGATTCTATGAGACAAGCGGACATAGACGGACGTGGCACCCCCCCCCCCCCCCCCCCCCCCTTATTAAGAGACACTTCTGTTCCTGCTGTTCACGTTTGAAGAGGAGAAACACGTGACCACTTTCTTTTTCACTTTCTCTTTGTTACAGTCAATCTCGTAAGATCAGGTGAAAGGACGAGCATCGTGAGCTTATTGTCAGTGGCAACGTCAACTGCAGTGACTCGCACATCGAGCAGGATCCAAATAAACACCTGATTATCGCCATATTTTCTGAGATATTTGGACACGTTTAAAACCACCCCATCTAGATATACTTGTCACGCCCTAGCCGTCCAGTGATACCGAAATAGGGACAGGCAATCTAATTAAATGCTAAAACCAAGTGTTGCTCCTTAACATATGTGATATGTCAGTTATATATAGTATTCAATAGGCAAAAAGACGCTCTAGGGGCTACCGGCTAAACTTGTTAAATCTAATGATGTTTGAAAACAACGTAAATGAATCAGTGAAATGCACATATCTCTGGTTGTGGGAGTTCTTTTTCTTCGCGTTTCAGAAAAACGTATATCAAATATACGTCTCTTTAACAGCCAATACCATGTTTACAATTTACGGGCCTAACAGCAGTTCACAGCTAGGTAAGTTTGTAAGTTACAATTTTGGTCGAGCTGTAAGTTGTAACAGTGCAATTAAAAGCCATTGATCAAGCAATACCCATGACGTTCGCTCACTCTATCTCTCTCACCCTCTGGGACACATTCTGTGGTGATACCATGCGAAATGCATCCTTTCATTGTGCAAAGGGCGTGATTTTATATTGGTGATTCCAACTCACTTGTAGACTTGCTGAAATAATCACGGCTACTTACTAATCCTAGAACTTAAAAATTGCATTGCTCGGTCGGAATGAACATCATCGGTCAAAATCCTTGCCAAAGAATACGATCGAGTTTCGAAGTAAGACATTAAATCCAGATTGACATCTACGAAATGCGTTGCAAGGTAATACCTAAATAGTAAATAAGACTAGTGTGGCCTCACCCAGATCTCGAAGTACAGACGATGGACGAATGAGCACCACAGTTTTAATTTTATCGTTTTTAAATTACACACTCATCAGCCTATTGGCTAATGGATGCTTTCGGTGCATATCGCAAGTATCGAATTAGCTTGACAAACCATTAGTATACTTAGCTAGTACTATCGGCCGGACGCATTCATATCGCTATTATTATATCGCGCGCCGGTGACGCGCGCAACGAGCCCAAATAACATACAGAAAGTGTTGAAAATTACTTTGCATTTCAATAAATGATTTGGTAGCCGCGTGTTCCACGAAGTTTAACACCAAGGACCGTTGGCGGGAAGGGATCGTATAATGGCGGGTCGGAGCTAGCTTTACAAATCACAGCGATACTTGTCAGAACAAGGCAGAGAGTCATCAAATTGGAACGAACAGTTTTTGAAATAAAGATTAGAAAGTGCAGTCAAGTCGGTTTATGTTAGAAGCTTTAGAAATTGTCAACCTGTCCAGTGGCGTAACGAAAGGCCCTGCTGACCCCGCTGTGCAGGGGGGCGCCGTCTTAGGGGGGCGCCAAATCGTCGTTTGAATGTGGGACAATTTCGAAAACTTAACTAAAGTACTAGCAAAACTGCGCGTTTTGCTCTAGATACACACTTTTTTAGAGATTTTACCGGCGTATTCTTTAAAATCACCTAATTTGTTCAATTTTAGGGAGGGGCACCAAAAGGGGAGGGGGCGCCAACAGGGGGGCGCTTTTTTCGGCAGGGGGCGCCAACAGGCAACGTTACGCCACTGAACCTGTCATCCTGACAGCCAAACTGTGTGTTTTTGGCGCTTACTATAAAATGCGCTGGAGCTATAAAGCTATAATAAATAGCGATCGGCATAGTATTGCAAATTATTTCTAGAAAATACAATGGCGTGAAGTTCGGGGTAAGACTAAAGTATCAAGAGTAAATTTGAAGTTGATCTTACCATTCCAGTTTCTGGTTCGAATACTGCGCCAGTGTAGTCAAGTTGGAAGAATTCTAGAAATTCCTGAACGATCCCAGCTGCCAGAAGTCCTGAAGTTGGTGCGTATTTGTAAAATACCAAAACAGGGGCAGATTTGCGAACAATTTTATTATCCAATTTATCTTTAATGCAATGAAACCCTTCACCATCTAAACTTAACCCTTTACTATCTAAACTTAGCCTTCACTATCTAAGCTTAAGTCTGAAGTTTTAACCCCTTACTATTTAAATTCCAGTATAACAAAACTCTAAATTTTGAAAGAGAAAAAAATTAGGACGACTACTCCAGTAGCAGGGAGGAGTTGAGTGTGCACTTCGATGTACAGAGTTTTTTGCTGCTGAATCGGGTTAAATAGGTCATTGGTAACTCAAAAAATCGAGGGCCGCATGTTGTGTCGCTAGTCCCAACCCTGTGGAGCCCCGCCCATATTTCATATCAGGTGCGTATATGGGAAATATGTATCTCAGCTTCTGAAGGTCTTAGAGACTTAAAGTTGAGTTTAAAATGTCCGCAATACACATGTTTATATTGGTACTATGAAGGTCATGAAAGCCCAAAATGCTTATTTTTGGAAAAAAATCAGAAAAACCAATTTTCACTTGGGCGCGAGTAAAAAAATCTACACTAGAAATTGAGTGAAAATCGAGTAAGCAGTTCAGTGTCTACCACATTTCTAAACACAGGGTCCTCTGTTAGGTCATTCTAAATCAGAATTGATAAAGTAAGCAAATTTTATTAGTAGTTTCAACCCTGTGGAGCCACGCCCATATTTCAAATTATGTGCGAATATCGGAAATTTGTATCTCAGCTTCTGAAGGTCTTAGAGACTCAAAGGTGGGCTTAAAATGACCGCAATGTACATGTTTATATTGGCACTATGAGGGTCATGAAGGCCCAGAATGCTTATTTTTTGGAAAATTCAGTAAAACCGATTTTCAAGTTTGCGACACTTGGGCGTGAGTAAAAATCGACGCTTAGAAGTTAAGTGAAATCGAGTATGAAGTTCAGTGTCTGCAACGTTTCTAAACACAGGATCCTTTGTAAGGTCATTCTGAATCAGAATTGATAAGGTACGCAAATTCTATGAGTAGTTTCAACCCTAGGGAGCAAAAGCCAAAACTCCTAAATTACCCCCAGGCGCAAATATATGACTTTTCTATCTTTGAGCTCAAACTAACTACGATGGCCACATTTATATACCAACTGTAAAGAAACATAGGGTCTATACTCTATAGTGCTTAGTTTTTAAAAACTCATTAAAAACTGTTTTAACCTTCATGCATCATAAAATAGTAACATCAAATTAAGTATTAATTATGGTATCTCGGGCTAAAAAAGTCTTATAGACATTTCCAGCACAGTAAAACGTTCAACATGAACACATTCGGATAACATTTATGGAGCAGCACATACCACCTAACTTTAATTTTGGTATAACTGCGAAAATACTCAGTTTCAGAAGCTCCTTCCAGCTATCTTAGGCTGCCATCAGCTCCCTCTCTGGGACTCTCTCCAGTACTGCTTGGCTATTATGGCTAATCAACTTGAATCCAACCTCATGTAGTAGAATCTACTTCTAAGTTCTAGTTACCTTCTGCTAAGATTCTTTCTAGCAGCTACTATACCACCAGATGGCAGAAACCACCAATTCCAGCTGTCTCCACCTACTTCGGCTACCTCTATTTAGCTACCACCAAGGTTCCTCCAACTTCTGCTCGAGCAACTTTAGCTTAGGGTAGTGGGCTACTTCTTGCCATGTCTAGCAACCATCAGCAACATTTTATTCTGGCGTTTAGAGGTTGCTAGAAACAGCAAATTTCCTCTTCCTTAATGAGCTAGAAATTGTTGGATGCAGCAGAGGTTATACATCACTCATACCAGAGGTTGCTAGAAAGATCTAAAATTATAACATATTGGTGGTGGTAGCTGGGTAGAGTTGACATGGACTTAGCAGAAGGTAACTAGAACTTAGAAGTAGATTCTACTACATGAGGTTGGATTCAAGTTGATTAGCCATAATAGCCAAGCAGTACTGGAGAGAGTCCCAGAGAGGGAGCTGATGGCAGCCTAAGATAGCTGGAAGGAGCTTCTGAAACTGAGTATTTTCGCAGTTATACCAAAATTAAAGTTAGGTGGTATGTGCTGCTCCATAAATGTTATCCGAATGTGTTCATGTTGAACGTTTTACTGTGCTGGAAATGTCTATAAGACTTTTTTAGCCCGAGATACCATAATTAATACTTAATTTGATGTTACTATTTTATGATGCATGAAGGTTAAAACAGTTTTTAATGAGTTTTTAAAAACTAAGCACTATAGAGTATAATAGACCCTATGTTTCTTTACAGTCTAGTTGGTATATAAATGTGGCCATCGTAGTTAGTTTGAGCTCAAAGAGAGGCCCCTACAACGTTCAGAAGCCGAGATAGAAAAGTCATATATTTGCGCCTGGGGGTAATTTAGGAGTTTTGGCTTTTGCTCCCTAGGGTTGAAACTACTCATAGAATTTGCGTACCTTATCAATTCTGATTCAGAATGACCTTACAAAGGATCCTGTGTTTAGAAACGTTGCAGACACTGAACTTCATACTCGATTTCACTTAACTTCTAAGCGTCGATTTTTACTCACGCCCAAGTGTCGCAAACTTGAAAATCGGTTTTACTGAATTTTCCAAAAAATAAGCATTCTGGGCCTTCATGACCCTCATAGTGCCAATATAAACATGTACATTGCGGTCATTTTAAGCCCACCTTTGAGTCTCTAAGACCTTCAGAAGCTGAGATACAAATTTCCGATATTCGCACATAATTTGAAATATGGGCGTGGCTCCACAGGGTTGAAACTACTAATAAAATTTGCTTACTTTATCAATTCTGATTTAGAATGACCTAACAGAGGACCCTGTGTTTAGAAATGTGGTAGACACTGAACTGCTTACTCGATTTTCACTCAATTTCTAGTGTAGATTTTTTTACTCGCGCCCAAGTGAAAATTGGTTTTTCTGATTTTTTTCCAAAAATAAGCATTTTGGGCTTTCATGACCTTCATAGTACCAATATAAACATGTGTATTGCGGACATTTTAAACTCAACTTTAAGTCTCTAAGACCTTCAGAAGCTGAGATACATATTTCCCATATACGCACCTGATATGAAATATGGGCGGGGCTCCACAGGGTTGGGACTAGCGACACAACATGCGGCCCTCGATTTTTTGAGTTACCAATGACCTATTTAACCCGATTCAGCAGCAAAAAACTCTGTACATCGAAGTGCACACTCAACTCCTCCCTGCTACTGGAGTAGACAGGAGGAAAGTAAGAGGAACTGCTGAAAAGTAGGAAGTAGGACAGCTTAAATAATTGTGATGTTTAATAACTAAGCTTGTTGTGACGTTAGTTTAGATAGCTAGAAAAATAATTTTACCTTCTTTTGTTGATAAGAATTGCTGCAGTCTCTTGTTATGATGCACTTTTCTGTTCTGAAAATAAAAGAGTTAAACTAAAAAACTAAAAATAAATATTTAATCTACAGGTAAAATTTGTAATCAAAGTTGATGTTGTTTGAATTTCAGTAGCACTCACAATGTGGCGCATAGTCTAGTGGCTAGTGGTAGCCTACTAGTAGCACTCGCAATATGGCGCGTAGTCTAGTAGCTAGTGGTAGCCCACTAGTAGCACTCACAATGTGGCGCATAGTCTAGTAGCTAGTGGTAGCCCACTAGTAGCACTCACAATGTGGCGCGTAGTCTAGTGGCTAGTGGTAGCATTAGTAGCATCCTACACGCTAGAGTATAGCCTAAGCTATGGGCGAAGACTATACAACGGTTATCTCGCACTTCACCCTGCGAAATCCGGCCAGGCCAATTAGCTGTGGTTGGTGCAGGGTCTAGGCCTTGAAGACTGCTAATTAATTTGGGCCTGCTGTGATGGGCTCCTCGTGCAGATATACACGAATAATTATTGAACAACTACCTCCTCGCTTACACTTGTGTGAGCTTGGAGAAGTATCATGAGCGAGCGGTGCCAGGTAAATGAATCCCGTGAATGGAAGATTAGCAATGTTTCGTGAATTAAAATTACAATTAAACATTTTGAATTGAACATTTTGTCAATTTTGAGATACATCATTACGAATTAAAGTGATAAAACCTTCTACATTCTGTCCTCAGATTCTTTAGCTGTATTTACTTTAAATTATACAATGGATATAACAGTATAAGTCTATATAGTCATAATAATAATATATGATATATAATAGTCATAACTGATTACTCGATTAAGTAAACAGAAAGCGGTAGTTTCCTTATTAAAAGCAACTATCATAGCATTATGCACTGAGTCAGTTCACATGGAAAGTTGTGCTTACTTATTGACACCGGTTACACACTTGATGGTAATTGATATGATACCAATCAAAAGCAGATCTATTCACAGATACAAACTGATAAAATATTTTTGCTAAATCCTCTTAATATGATTATTGTATGACTTGCCAGTCACGTTTTCAGCGATATGAAACCATATTTTTCAGAATAACGGCTTTTTATGTGTATTTTTATGCTAAATACAGTGGATATTTGAAGCAAAAAAGTTACCTTATGTCTTTCAATTTTTGAAAATCATGCAAAAAAAAACCATATTAAATGTAACCTTTTTATCGGTGTCTTCCAAAGCCAAGAACACACCAGCCCTGAGTTGGGCCTGTATCTTGCCAAGAAGTCCATTGTTTTCTAGAGTTTGGGTTACCAGATCCCTTAACTCTGTATCTTCATCTCCAGCTGACATTTTCTTACCTAGGATAATTAAAAAGTGAAAAGGTTCCAATTATAAGTTCTTAAGGTCTTAAATTTGCTTATTCTATAAGAATATTGATAAAGTGATAAGTTGAATAATAAATTCCAATATTTGTATCATGCAACGAAATCCATCTGTATCCATACAGATAAGGTAAATCATATTACAAATATGGCTTTGTGAAATTTGGATGAATAAAACGATCAGTTTACTAACTCAAACAATATGATTTAAGACAATCAATATTCGATGGAATTAATTAATGGATGAGTTAGACAATTATATATCGAATTCCTTGCAATTTTAGAGTTTCTGTCCGGTGTGAGTCCTCATATATGCGCTGTGAACCGACCTTCCTGAGCACTAGAATACGAACGTTGGTTTCACTTGAAGGGTTTCTTTCCCGTGTGAGTCGTCATATGTTTCTTGAGATCACCTTTCTGAGCACTACAATATGAACATTCCTTACACTTGAAGGGTTTCTCTCCTGTGTGAGTACGTTGGTGATTAATAAGACTTGATCTAACAGAGCAAGTATATGAACATTCCTTACACTTGTAGGGTTTCTCTCCCGTGTGAATACGTTGGTGTGTAACAAGACTTGATCTAACAGAGCAAGTGTATGAACATTCCTTACAATTGTAAGGTTTCTCTCCCGTGTGAATACGTTGGTGTGTAACAAGAGTTGATTTAACAGAGCAAGTATATGAACATTCCATACACTTGTAGGGTTTCTCTCCTGTGTGAGTCCTCATATGTTTCTCTAGACTACCTTTCCGAGCACTACAATACGAACATTGACTGCACTTGTAGGGTTTCTCTCCTGAGTGAGTACGTTGGTGTCTGATGAGATTTGATTTAATTGAGCAAGTATATGAGCATTCGTTGCACTTGAAGAGTTTCTCTCCTGAGTGAGTCCTCATATGTTTCTCTAGATCACCTTTCCGAGCACTACAATATGAACATTCATTACACTTGTAGGGTTTAGCTCCCTTGTGAATACGTTGGTGTATGATAAGCTTTGATTTATCAGAGCAAGTATATGAACATTCCATACACTTGTAGGGTTTCTCTCCCGTGTGAGCACGTTGGTGTCTGATTAGCTTTGATTTATCTGAGCGAGTATATGAACATTCCTTGCTCTTGTAGGGTTTCTCTCCCGTGTGAATACGTAAATGTTTCACAAGATCACTGTTCTCAGTACAGGTATAAGAACAATCGTCACATTTAAAAGCTTTCCCAACAGGAGAAGTATTTTCTTTGCCCAACCTGACTAATGATGGTAATGAATTTAACAAGACATTTCTAGTAGACATATCATTGATTGTTTCACCATGATGTTCTCTGATATGTTCTACAAAGAACTCATCATAAAGGAAGTGAGCTTGACATTGCGGACAAATGAAACCATGTGAAACTCCAGTCACCTCCTCCTGTTCAGTTTTTATTTCCTTTTTGATGGGAATTAATGTTATGTTACTCTTTTCTTTATCAGCAGCTGTTGAGGATCTTTTACTCCGTGTTAACATGACAAACGTTCCTGCATTAATAACTGATTAATGAAATCAAAATACACAAACTTTCCAAATTCAAATATCTACATATTTAATTACCAGTGGGTATAAATAAATGGAATATTATTTAAATATAATATTTAGACCACGCTTAGAAATCCATATTCTATCAGTACCACGAGCTATAATGCAGTTAATAAATGTCATATCAGAGTCATATTATAAAAATAACAAATAATATAGATTGTGGAAAAACATTAAATTTACTAATTTCTACTATTGAGACAAGACAAAATCAGTGGGATTCAATTAATGGTTAGATATATATCAAATATTAAGTTTAATTTCACATTTATTTGGTCAACAGACTGCAAAATTCTTATATCTAAATCAGAAAAATTCATTTCAAACCTAGCTCTAAAAATGTGTGGAGATTATTTCTAGATAATAAATGTAATCATTGATCATACCTCGTAGGTAAACTAATAATATAAAATTGGAAGTAAACTGACATTCTCTACCAGTGAATACACTGGTATGGTGTCTAATAAAGAGTGACTGATCAGAATAAGTATACAGTTGTATGACAACATTCCTGGCAATTTTATAGTTTCTCTCCCGTGTGGGTTCGTTGGTGTCTATTAAGATTTGATTTAATAGAGCAGGCAAATGAACATTGGTAACATTGGTAGGGGTTCTCTCCCGTGTGAGTACGTTGGTGTGTAATAAGACTTGATTTAACAGAGCAAGTATATGAACATTCCTTACACTTGTAGGGTTTCTCTCCCGTGTGAATCCTCATATGTGTTGTAAGCGAACCATTCTGAGCACTAGAATACGTACATTGACTGCACTTATAGGGTTTCTCTCCCGTGTGAGTACGTTGGTGTATAGTAAGACTTGATTTAACAGAGCAAGTATATGAACATTCCTTACATTTCACAGTGGGCTGGGATGCTAGCATAGGCCAAAAATTGACTTTTCCCCCCTCTTTTCTAATTGATTTATCTATTAAGATAAAAAGAATCTCGATGCAATGCAAAAAACCAAAATGAAAAAGGATGAATCGTGTGAAAATGGCACCGCGCCTAAAATTTGTATTTTTTGGCAGTGGAAATTTTGTATTTGACTGCCAAAATTTACTTTTGTTTTATCCTTTCACCATAAATTGTCTTTGTATTAGTTTCCTGAGTTATTTGTGAGTTAGTGATGATCCAAGCTTCCTAGTTACTAGAAAAAAACCCTAAGGGTCTAGCTAATTTGCTGATTTTTTGATGGAGCGCCGATTTTAAACTAAATTTCAGCATTTTTTTCTCTTAAAAAGGGCAAAAATAGTTGCTAACTTCATAATACTTCAAATGGAAACCTACTTCATCTTAAAGCTGAGTTAATTTTGGTTTAGAAGCTTTTGGAATCTGTCTGGGCCACTTTGGGTTATATCTGTTTAAAAAATTAAGAAACTCAAAAATTGGGTAAAATTTGCTGCATTTTTAGATAATTTATGAGCTCAATTTTGCTATTAAATTGACATATTTTAGTTATACTCCATGTTTGTGGCGTTTTTTTGCATCCTAGACCAGATGCACATGGATGAAAAATCAAAATATCACAATTATTATGGTTAAAATTGATGAAAATCCAAAAAATCGTGTTTTTAAACGAAATTTTTGAAAATAACAGGAACAATTTTGGCGTTTCAGAAAATTTTGGTCAGATAAATGGGCACAACTTTTGTTCTGATCAATATTTTTTCATAATTCAAAAAGATTTGAGTTCCTAAGATAGCTGTCCTTTGTTTAAAGTTCATAAAAGAGCTTTAAAATCGATTAAACCTCTAAAAAAACAACTTTTCCTGGGATCAGCCTCCTATTTTTGGACTACAAGAGTGCTCAAAATCGGCCCAAAAATTTTTTTCTGAGACATTTTCGGCCCTGTGAATGATTGGAATCGTATTTTTGTACCCAAATTACCTTAAAAACAAAGTTAGAGGCATGTGTGATGGTCTAAAATACCCTATGCTAGCATGACCCCCACTCACAGCCCACTGTGCATTTGTAGGGTTTCTCTCCCGTGTGAATCCTCATATGTGTTGTAAGCAAACCATTCTGAGCACTAGAATACGTACATTGACTGCACTTATAGGGTTTCTCTCCCGTGTGAGTAAAATGGTGATTAATGAGACTTGATTTAACAGAGCAAGTATATGAACATTCCTTACACTTGTAGGGTTTCTCTCCTGTGTGAGTACGTTGGTGTCTGATAAGACTTGATTTAATTGAGCAAGTATATGAACATTCGTTGCATTCGTAGGGTTTATCTCCCGTGTGAGTACGTTGGTGGTTAATAAGATTTGATTTATCAGAGCAATTGTATGAGCATTCGTTGCACTTGAAGAGTTTCTCTCCTGAGTGAGTCCTCATATGTTTCTCTAGATCACCTTTCCGAGCACTACAATATGAACATTCATTACACTTGTAGGGTTGGGGGTGATGCAACGTCAATTAATGTCAATTAATGTCAATTAATGTCAATTAATGTCAATTAATGTCAATTAATGTCAATGTCAGTTTTGCAAAATTTTGGAATACTGACATTAATTGACACGATATTTTTCGACCAAAGATTATGTAGTTCTACCATATTTTTAGCACTTAAGAACGTTTATATCATCAATTTATTCACTACTATCACATATATGGAAATGTGAAATGTGAAAAAAATTCAGATCATTAAACAATAAAACTAAAATAATACGGTTTTCCGAAATTTAATTTTCTTAAATGGGCGTGGCCATCCAAGGGCGTGGTTCTCAACATCATCAGAACTTAAAACCCACATTAAACGAAATGCCTTCATGACATTTATATTTGAATAACGAATCTTAAACAGCTAACAGTACTCCTTCATACTAAAAAAGCCGATTCTAGATATTTTACCTGTATAAGAAACCAATAAAATATGGGCGTGGCCGGTGGGGATCGAAGATGGAAGAGTTGGAAGCTGAAATTTTTTTTGGTGGTCTTTGAACCTAAGGATCAACAGATAAGAACATACTCATAATTATTCAAGGACATTTTGTTTTTTGAACCGGTCTAACTTACATAGACGTGAATATCTTGAATATTTATCAAATAATGATAATCTCAAATTTCAAGACAAATTAATGTCAATTAATGTCAATTAATGTCAATTAATGTCAATTAATGTCAATTAATGTCAATTAATGTCAATGTCAGTTTGGGGTTTTTATGGAATACTGACATTAATTGACGTTGCATTCCCCCCGTAGGGTTTCTCTCCCGTGTGAAAGCGTTGGTGTATAATAAGATTTGATTTAAAAGAGCAAGTAAATGAACATTCCTTACACTTGTAGGGTTCCTCTCCCGTGTGAATACGTAAATGTTTCACAAGATCACTGTTCTCAGTACAGGTATAAGAACAATTGTCACATTTAAAAGCTTTTCCAACAGGAGAAGTATTTTCTTTGCACAACCTGACTAATGATGGTAATGAATTTAACAAGACATTTCTAGTAGACATATAATCATTGATTGTTTCACCATGATGTTCTCTGATATGTTCTACAAAGAACTCATCATACAGGAAGTGAGCTTGACATTGCGGACAAATGAAACCATGTGCAACTCCAGTCACCTCCTCCTGTTCAGTTTTTATTTCCTTTTTGATGGGAATTAAAGTTATGTTACTCTTTTCTTTATCAGCAGCTGTTGAGGATCTTTTACTCCGTGTTAACATGACAAACGTTCCTGCATTAATAACTGATTAATGAAATCAAAATACACAAACTTTCCAAATTCAAATATCTACATATTTAATTACCAGTGGGTATAAATAAATGGAATATTATTTAAATATAATATTTAGACCACGCTTAGAAATCCATATTCTATCAGTACCACGAGCTATAATTTGCAGTTAATAAATGTCATATCAGAGTCATAAATTATAAAAATAACAAATAATATAGATTGTGGAAATACATTAAATTTACTAATTTCTACTATTGAGACAAGACGAAATCAGTGGGATTCAATTAATGGTTAGATATATATATATCAAATATTAAGTTTAATTTCACATTTATTTGGTCAACAGACTGCAAAATTCTTATATTTAAATCAGAAAAATTCATTTCAAACATAGCTCTAAACATTTGTGGAGATTATTTCTAGATAATAAATGTAATCATTGATCATACCTCGTAGGTAAACTAATAATATAAAAGTGAAAGTAAACTGACATTCTCTACCAGTGAATACACTGGTGTCTAATAAATAGTGACTGATCAGAACAAGTATACAGTTGTATGACAACATTCCTGGCAATTTTATAGTTTCTCTCCCGTGTGGGTTCGTTGGTGTCTATTAAGATTTGATTTAACAGAGCAAGTATATGAACATTCCTTACACTTGTAGGGTTTCTCTCCCGTTTGAATCCCGTTTGTGTTGTAAGCGAACCATTCTGAGCACTAGAATACGTACATTGACTGCACTTATAGGGTTTCTCTCCCGTGTGAGTACGTTGGTGTATAGTAAGACTTGATTTAACAGAGCAAGTATATGAACATTCCTTACACTTGTAGGGTTTCTCTCCCATGTGAGTAAAATGGTGATTAATGAGACTTGATTTAGCAGAGCAAGTATATGAACATTCCTTACACTTGTAGGGTTTCTCTCCTGTGTAAGTACGTTGGTGTCTGATAAGACTTGATTTAATTGAGCAAGTATATGAACATTCGTTGCATTCGTAGGGTTTATCTCCCGTGTGAGTACGTTGGTGGTTAATAAGATTTGATTTATCAGAGCAATTGTATGAACATTCCTTACACTTGTAGGGTTTCTCTCCAATGTGAGTCCTCATATGTAATGTCAGATGACATTTCTGAGCACAAGAATATGAACATTCCTTACACTTGTAGGGTTTCTCTCCCGTGTGAATACGTTGGTGGTTGATTAGATTTGATTTAACAGAGCAAGTATATGAACATTCCTTACACTTGTAGGGTTTCT